CGCCCGCCGGTTGGGGTGCGCGGGGCTCTCCGGGCCCGGGGTCCGTGACACCTTCGCTGACCTGACTGCTTTGTCCTCGCAGAACCTGGCACTCGGGACGGTGACGGGACTTAAACGGGCTACTGCGGAGGAGGACTGCGAACCGCGGCGGCATCCCGGTCCCCAGCACATTGGAGCGGAAGCACATTGCCCGGGGCACCATGACGCTGAGGCTCTTGGAGGACTGGTGCAGGGGGATGGACATGAGCCCTCGGAAGGCGCTGTTGATTGCCGGCATCCCCCAGACCTGCCATGTGGCCGAGATCGAGGAGGCGCTGCGCGCCGGGCTGGCTCCCTTGGGCGAGCACCGCCTGCTCGGGAGGATGTTCCGGAGGGACGAGAACAGTACCGTAGCCTTAGTCGGGCTCGCGGAGGAGACGAGCTTTGCCCTGGTCCCCAAGGAGATCCCTGGGAAGGGGGGTAGCTGGAGGGTGATCTTTAAGCCCCCTGACCCAGACAACGAATTTTTAAGCAGATTAACGGCCTTCTTAGAAGGAGAGGGCATGACCTTGGCTGAGCTGACCAGAGCTTTTGGGTATGGAAACGACCCCTTTGACCTAGACCAGAACATGATCCCAGAAGTGCGGGCCCCCATGCTGGCCCAGGCGTTAGATGAGGCCCTTCAGCCTGCCCTGCAGTACGTGAACTACAAAAAGCTGAGAGTGTTCTCGGGCGGCGATCCGCCAGGACCCGAAGAAGAAAACTTTGAATCCTGGCTGTTCCACACCACCCAGATGATGAAGACCTGGCAGGTGTCGGATGCCGAGAAGAGAAGGCGGTTGCTAGAGAGCCTTAGAAGCCCAGCCTATGATGTCATCCGTGTCCTCAAGATAAGCAACCCTTTAATTACGGTCCCCGAATGCCTGAAGGCTCTTGAGCAGGTTTTTGGGGTTATTGATAATCCTAGGGAGTTGCAGGTCCGATACCTGAGGACTTACCAGAAGGATGGAGAAAAGTTGTCCGCTTACATACTCAGGTTGGAGCCTCTGTTACAGAAACTGGTGGAGAGAGGAGCAGTGGAGAGAGAAGTTGTGAATCAGGCCCGGCTCGACCAGATCCTGGCCGGAGCAGGGGACAAAACGCTGCGCCGGCGGCTCGCTCTGCCCGAGGATGGCTCAGCCCCTGGCTTGTTGGAGCTACTGGAGCTGATAAAGGGTGAAGAGGCAACGGAGGCAGAGGAGGAGGAGGCCCTTCTCCAGGCAGAATTATTAGAGGGACATTTCACCTGAATCTTAGGGAACCAGAAAGGGTCAGTGACAGTGAGCAGAGCATGGAGGTAGAATAATCCATAGACTACAGTGGTAGACATTCACCAAGCCCTACCTTGTGATACCAAGTAACTCATTTTTGCGCAGTTCTCAGTACAAATCCATTGTCATTTGTGTGCCTACTTAAGGTCTCCTAAGTGTATCATTGACTAGGAAGACTGTAGTTCTGCACTGGTATTTATATATTTAAATTCATTCTGGTGAGTTTTTTATCATACAAAACTGTACAATAGTCTGTCACTGCATATGTGCACTGCTCAAAACTACAAAGTATCACTGCATATGTGCACTGCTCAAAACTACAAAGTTCTATCACTGCATATGTGCACTGCTCAAAACTACAAAGTTCTATCACTGCATATGTGCACTGCTCAAAACTACAAAGTTCTGTCACTATATATGTGCACTGCTTGAGAGGAAGGCAGGGGTAAGACCTGATCTTACGAAGATGTCAGCTTGTGTGGTAGCAGGTGCAAGTGTAGCATGTCAAATGTGATTATGTATCAGCTTGTAGTGTCTGTTGCCCTCCATTTATCATGATTGTGAACAGTGGTTAAGATATTTTCTGTGTGAACCAGAATTTTGTTGATTCTGTGCAATCAAAACAAGAGACAGAACTAAATGCTGAGGTTAACTTTGCAGCTTCCATCTCTAACCTCAGGTTCCTGATGTGCATCGTCATACATCTACTTCTGAATATCATTTTAATAGGTATTATAAAATTATAAGTATGACCTTATAAAATAAAGGAATGCTGATAAAATGACCTCTTTTATCTGTTTGGTTTATATCAAATTTCTAAAAGAAATTTCAAAAGTGTGAATCTGAAAACCACTTAGTCCCTAAGTAAGATTGCTGGAGGGAGCTTCTGAAGCACATGGAATGAAACAGGACAGTACACAAGTTAGTGCACATAGCAGGTGAGTACACTGATACATCAGTGCTTTGGTTTGAATGGTTTCCCAGCTAATAAGTACAGGGACAAGATTTACAATCAGGCTGTCTATTTCCAGAGTCCTTGCTTTTAATCTATTCTATGCTGCCTGGTTATTCATAGAAGCCTGTAAGAAACACGATCATTGCTCCTGTTTTTATTTAGTTTTTTGGTTAATCCTCACCCAAGGATATTTTTCCATTGACTTTAGAGAGAATGGAAAGGGTTGGGGGAGAAAGAGAAACATCAATGTGAGAGAGACACATCGTTAGGTTGCCTGCAACCCAGATACATGCCCTTGACCAGGAATCGAACCCGAGACCCTTCGGTGCATGGACCGATGCTCTAACCACTGAGCAATTGCCGAGCACATTGCCCTTGTTTTACAGATGAAAGCCTTGAGGCTCAGAAAGCCTCAGAGCTAAGGGCAAGGGCACATAATCTGACTCCCAAGAGCTTTTTAAAAAAACTTTAATATTTTTAAAAAATATTTTCTTTGATTTTTAGAGAGAGAAGAAAGGAGAAAGATAAACATCCATGTGAGAGCAGCACATGTGAGAGGGGAACATCGATTGACAACTCCGGCATGTACTCTGATGGGGAATGGAACCAGCAACCTTGCAGTGCACAGGACAAGGCCCAACCAAGCCCCACCTGCCAGGGTCTGAGAGCTTTGCTTAAGGTGCATTTGGTAAACACTACATCATTGTCAAACATTAAAAATGGCAGTTGTGTTTATGAAGTTATGTGGAGTAATAAAAAAAAATGTTCTTTAAAAGCTATGTTTTGCCTGGCTGGCATGGCTCAGTGGTTGAGCGTTGACCTGTGAACCAGGAGGTCACAGTTCAATTCGGGTTTGTGGGCTCAATCCCCAGTGGGGGGCATGTAGGAGGCAGCCTATCAATGATTCTCTCTCATCATTGATGTTTCTATCTCTCCTCCCTTCTCTGAAATCAATAAGAAATTATATATATGTATATAATTTCAAAAGCTATGTTTCAACATGAATGACAAAACCCTAAAATACTCTAACTAGTTGTGTTGAGATGATGGGATTATAAGGCTGGGTTAGTTTTTTATGTTTCCTAAATGTGTTTTTTAAACAAATAAATATGCAAAGAAGGTAGGTGCTCAAGAAGGAAGTTGGCATTTTAAAGGATACAGGAACCAGCCTGAAAGAGCTCCCACTGGTGAAGCAACAAATTTGAGCAACGAAACTGAATTATAACTCAAAATTGTATTTTAACCTAAATTATAAAACAAATGTCTACAATTTCACGCTGAATGAATGAATGAATGACTTTTCTGTAAGTCTAAAACTATTCTAATATAAAATAGTCATTGAAATACATACATAGATACTTACATGCATACATATGCAAGCAAATAATAAATGACCTGGGATGTCAGCCAGTGAAATAAGTGAAAAACTAGAGGGCCTCCTTTTTCCTAAAAACGGGTTATTCATTAAAACACACACATACACACACACACTCAAACAAAAATGCTTATTCATCTAAACACCACTAGGCGGCGGTAAGCACTCAGGTTAGGCCTCCGCCAGACAAAGCAGGGAAAAGGATTATTTCTTATATAAATGGCATCATACCTGCCCCTACTCAAAGACTGGAAAATTTCTTAAGTCTTTATGTGGAAAAATACTGAAGTACTCGCTCGATGTTGGACAGTGACTTCCTCTTTGGTCCCTGACACTTCTAGAATCTTCTAATCAGCTTGTCAGAGAAGCCTGGCATTGGTAAATAGACTGATCTGTCTATATAAGTGAGAACATTCTTTTTTTAAAATATTTTTATTGATTTCAGGGAAGAAGGGAGTGGGAGAGAGAGAAACACCAATGATGAGAGAGAGCCATTGATCGGCTGCCTCCTGCACACCCCACACTGGGGATCAAGCCCGCAACCTGGGCATGTGCCCTGACCGGGAATCAAATCCTGACTGACCTCCTGGTTCAGAGGTCAACGCTCAACCACTGAGCCACGGCGGTTGGGCCAAGTGAGAACATTGTTAATCATGCCACTTCACTCCCAGCCGGAGCATTTCATAACACTGGAAACTAGATGGTTTCAGAGCTCAACTTCTGAAAGTCTGTTATTCCAAAGAAAATGACATTTAGGTCAAAAGTACTCTTTAGGGGGGCAGGAGTGGCGGGGGGCGGGGGGCATCAATTGGGGAAAAGGGAGACATGTAATACTTTAAACAATTAAAAAATAATGATAAAAAAATAAAAAATACTCTTTAGCTGTTACGGGTTTCCCACACACTCTCCTGCCTCTGCTACCAGCAAGCCTAACTCTGCTTTTAGAGGTGTTCATTTTTTTATGTATACATGGGTTACCATATGAACTGGACCAGTTTATTAACTGGTTTAATTCACCCTAGCCAGTTTGGCTCAGTGGTTGAGTGTCCAACTATGAACCAGGAGGTCATGGTTCAATTCCCCATCAGGGCACATGCCCCATTGTGGGCTCGATCCCCAGTAGAGGTCATGCAGAAGGCAGCTGATCAATAGTTCTCTCTCATCATTGATGTTTCTATTTCTCCCTCTCCCTTCCTCTCTGAAATCAATAAATAATATATATAGTAAAAATAATTTAATTCAGGGAGAGGTCAGTTGACAGTCAAAAGGCTGTGGTCTAAAATAATAGAATATCACAGATGAGCCAGGTGAGGCTCAGAGAAGGAGAGTGACTTGCTCAACTACACACAGCCAGTTAGTGACAGATCAAACTTGAACCCAAATCTGAGCCTGTCTCTGGCTTTCTCTATGACCTGAAGTAACGGCACTTATTCCTCTTGGACTTCAGTTTACTTACCTACAAAATCTATGGTCCCTTTTTAGCTTTAAAACTGTGTGACTCAAAAGATCTTCTGTCTTTATTTGAATACTAGAGGCTCGGTGCACAAAAATTTGTGCACTCGGGAGGGTCCCTCAGCCCGGCCTGTGCCCTCTCGAAGTCTGGGACCCCTCAGGGGATGTCCACCTGCTGGCTTAGGCCCACTCCCTGGGGGATTGGGCCTAAGCTGGCAGTCAGACATCCCTCTGGCAGCCCAGGAGCCCTCGGGGGATGTCCACTTGCCAGCGGGGAGCAGGCCTAAGCTGCAGTCGGACATCCTTAGCGCTGCTGAGGTGGGAGAGGCTCCCACCACCACCGCTGTACTGGCAGCCGTCAGCCTGGCTTATGGCTGAGCAGAGCTCCCCCTGTGGGAGCGCACTGACCACCAGGGAGCAGCTCCTGCATTGAGCGTCTGCCCCCTGGTGGTCAATGTGTGTCATAGTGACCAGTCATTCCCAGTCGTTCTGCTGTTAGGGTCAATTTGCATATTACCCTTTTATTATATAGGACTAGAGGCCCAGTGTGCAGATTCGTGCACTGGTGGGGTCCCTCAGCCTGGCCTGCGGGGATTGGGGTGAAACTGGCTCTCCGACATCCCCTGAGGGGTCCTGGATTGCGAGAGGGCGCAGGCCAGGCCAAGGGAACCCACCGGTGCACTATTGGGGCTGGGGAGGGCCACGGGAGGGCTCCAGGGCATGTCCCATCTCGCCCAGTCCCGATTGGCCAGACCCCAGCAGCAAGCTAACCTACTGGTCAGAGCATCTGCCCCCTGTGATCAGTACACATCATAGCGACTGGTCAAACACTTAGCATATTAGGCTTTTATTATATGGGGTTCTTCATATAAAAACTGACTTGTAAGTTCTTAATATGCCTACTATTTGTCACTTAACATGTGTTCCCAAATATTATCCGGGTATCTTTTAATGAATGTGCTTTCTAACTACCTAATAGATTTTGTTCCCCTTGATATCGAGGCTTATATATATCTTCATATAAGCCCAACATGGCATTCCACATTTGAAAGGTAATATTTCTTAACTAATTAGTAAGATGTGCCTTATCTATATATATAAAAGCCTAGCAACTGTTACAGCAGAACCACCAGAACAACCGGTCACTATGACATGCATTGACCACCAGGGGGCAGATGCTCAACGCAGGAGCTTCCCCTTGGTGGTCAGTGTGCTCCCACAGCAGGAGCACTGCTCAGCCAGAAGCACAGTGGCGGTGGCGGGAGTCTCTCCCACCTCCACAGCAGCGCTAAGGAGTGGCAAGCCAAGCGGTAAGGAGCGAGCAGGCGGGTTGTAAGGAGCAAGGGGTCCCAGATTGTGAGAGGGATGTCCGACTGCCGGTTTAGGCCCAATCAGACATCCCCTGAGGGATCCCGGATTGTGAGAGGGCACAGGCTGGGCTGAATGACACACACCCCCACCCACACCCCCCAACCCCCCGTGCACAAATTTCGTGCATCGGGCCTGTAGTTATATATAATAATCAGGATGGCTATCATTTGTTAAACTCTTCCTATGTGCTAGGCATGTTGCTAAATGCTTTCCCTATATTACCTCATTTAATTTTAACTGCAGGCCCTTGTGCATGCATTACTATTCCTGATTTCAAGTAAGGAAGCAGACCTTTGGCTAGGTAACGTGTCCTGCCCGGAGTCACACAGCTAGAAGTGACGAAGAGCTGTCTGGTTCCAGAGCCAGTGCCTTAACCACTGTGCCAGACGGCCTCCAAGAGTGTCTTGGCTCTGAGCCAAACCACTTCAACAGTGGGTCTGCCAGTTTCTGACTGTATAACCTGTGAGCCTCTGTATCACCATTGCCCACTCTCTCCCTCCAAAATTAAAGACTAACACAGCCCGGATTATGCTGCCACGGAGACCACACTGTCGGCCCCCACCCAGCAACCATAGCCCTCTTCCTCCTTTGTATCTAAAGCCAGATTTGTTCACCCACTTTACAGAACTGTGAATTTCAGGGGAAACCCAGCCTTCCCCAGCCCCTGCCGGAAGTGGGGGTGGTAAATCTTAATTAGTTTAAGATGAGTCTGTACCCTTTGCCAAGTCACTTGTTGGAGGCATGGGCAAATTACACAATTCTAGCCAGTGAGATATGAGCTGCTGTTTCTCATCTTTATTTATGTGTGGCTCTGCTGCCAGAATGCCTCAGTTCAGATTCCAGCCTCCCGGCTCGAACTCTGTGCCTTCCCGCAAGTTATTAACCCTTCTTGGGCTTCGGTTTCCAAAGCAGAAAGCGGGGTAATAATGGCTCTCCTTGTAGGGTCATCGCGAAGACCAAGTGAACGAATAATGTGAAGTGTGGAGAACTGTACCTGCTACCTACTACGTATTCAACAAGCAGCTGTTGTGTTTGTTCTTTACTGCTGCCCAGCAAATTACCCCAAAACTTGGCGACTGAAAACAGTCGTTATCCCTCAGTTTCTGTGGACCAGGAACCTGGGAGCGACTTCACCGAGAGGTCCTGGCTCCCTGATAGACCGCAACCGAGGTGCTGCCCAGGGCTGTGGCCATCTTTTGGCGATCTTCTCCCAAAGCTCACCCCCGGGGCCTCTCCACGGGGCTGCCTCATGGCAGGGAGCTGACCTCCACCAGAAGCAAGCGATCCAAGAGAAAGTGAGAGGACACCCAAGACAGAAGCCACAGACTTTTTATAATCTTATCTCATATTGGCACCCCACCAGGCCAGAGTGGCTCAGTGGTTGAGTGTAGACCTATGAACCAGAAGGTCACGGTTTAATTCCCGGTCGGGGCACATGCCCAGGTTGCGGGCTTGATCCCCAGTAGAGGGTGTGCAGGAGGCAGCTGATCATTGATTCGCATCATTGATGTTTCTATCTCTCCTCCCTTCCTCTTTGAAATCAATTAAATATATACTAGTATATATATATATTTTTA